GCTAGCACTCTACCACTTGAGCCACAGCGCCACTTCCGGCTTTTTTCTTTTTGCTTATGTGGTGCTGAGGAATCGAACCCAGGGCCTCATGCACGCAAGGCAAGTGCTCTACCACTGAGCCACCTTCCCAGCCCCATTGTGATCATTTATAAATGACTCAGTAAAATCACTCCCTAAGTGTCTTTTTTGAATAAGGAATATCTTTTAGTTTGTCATTGTAACTTTTGTGTATTTTCCAGTATATCAAATTAAATTTCTTTTGCTCTCTGAAATACTTTTTCATAAAACACATTGGTACTGAAGTACCAATGAAAATAGCATTTCTACACCATTACTAAGATATGTCTGTGCTGGGATGTTGCTCAGTGGCAAAGTGCTTGCCCGGCAAGAACAACATCCTGGGTTTGATCCCCAGTACCACAAATCAAAAGACAAAAAAAAAAAAAACAGTTACAATAACAAAAGCTTTGTCCTATTTTTAGGATAAAAAGTTATTGCAATATAGCATTGGGCCACTAGATGGAGCCAAAAAGACTAATTTGTGTTTGCCTTGGCCTTTTGCCTGAAACCATTTCATTAATCTTGCCATGCTTTCCACCTAGAGAGTAGCTCTTTGAACATTTATTACTTTCATTTTACCTTCCCAAATTTAAAATTTTTGTAAATATTTCTTCTTTTTTATTTCATTTTGATATAGTAGCCAACCTCGAAGCTGGAAATTCCTTCGCTATTCACCACCCTCCCCACATCTCTCCAACTCAGCTAGATAGCAGGATTACAGGAAATTATTCTTTTTAGTTACACACCCTCAAACATAAGAATTCAAAAGCTATAAAATTTTATGACTCGTGAATTATGTATTATAAATATACATGAGTTATTATGTGATTGACATACTACTTTCTAGTGAATATGTTCTAGCATGGAGGAGCCGTAACTAAATACAAAGGTACTAATTTTTGCCATGGAATTAATAATATTACAACTACTACTACATGCTGCAATTAAGTGATGAAACATGTAAGTGGATAAGCATTCCTTTCTAGTAAGTTTCCTGTAGGGGAGGGGAGAGGCCCTCCCCAATAAGCTACAGTTTTCTTTGCACACAGGCCTGGTTCAGAGTACTAAGTAAATACACAGCTTGGAATGAGCTAGTTCAGAAAATGCCTAGCCCCAGGAACTCAGTTAGTTAGTTTTGTTCTTTCCTTTCTGTTGATTACTAGGCAACATTTACTATCCTAAGAGATCAACAATCCTAAGACAGTGCACACCCAGTACTTACCCTCTCCGACCAGGCCACATGGTTGGCTTTAGGTCATATAATTGCACCACATGCAGGTTACCAGGCTCCCTAGAGTTCTTTGGTACTGCCAATTAGGAAAGTGAAGGTCAGTGAGACACAGAGCTCTGGAGTTATTCACCTTGTACCTTCTCTGGAAGGGAAAAATGCAAAAGGGATCACTAAGGCTGGTGTCAGAATAAATGGAATGAAAAATAATCAATATACAACAGAGATATGAAAATGTCACAGTTTCAGAGACGTTAGTAAAAATGTATTATAACAATAGCTTAATAAGAATGAGTTGATAAAAATATTAATAACAGGACTGTATCTTTGTTCTTAAATGGACTCATTAGTAGGAATACAGCCTTTTCAAAGCCCTTAATTTAAATTAGCTTTTTTTTTCATGTTTTTATTCTAGATTGCCTAAACCACCTACTTCAACAGTAGAGTAAGTATATAGCTTCTATTTTCCTCCCCTGTTATAATCAAGAAAATAATATTGGCTGTTTTTAATTATTTACGTGGTTGTAAGGATAAGTGAGGTTTATGATACTTGGAAGGGGAAGCCAATGCAAGTCCAAGATAATATTGTTCTGATTTATCCCCAGTTACATCCACTGCCAAGCTTTATATTTTTCTTTTAGTATCACTGCTTTAGAATATAGGAGTATTAGAAAGTAAGGAATTCCCATATACTCAAAGCCAATGTCACCCACTATTTATATTAATGCGGCACACATTTGTTAATGAACCAAGATTAATGCATTACAATTACCTGTAGTCCATATTTTACTCAGATTTACTCAGTTTTTTTCTTCCTAGGGTCTCACCCAGGACATCACATTATATTTAATTCACATGCCTTCTTAAGTACTTCTTAACAGTGATAGTTCTTAGACTTTTTTTGTTTGATGACCTTGGAAACTTTGAAGATTGTAAGTCAAATATTTTGCAGAGTATTTGCTTCCAAATGATTTTGACTGATTTTTTTAAACAGTCCTGGGGCTTGTATTTGGGAGCTGGGGCCTGTCCTTGAGCTTCTTTTGCTTAAGGCTAGCACTCTACCTGCCCGATATGGCAGGAAAATAATCCTTACATATCAGCCTCCTGAGTGGCTAGGATTACAGGTGTGAGCCACCAGCACCCAGCTGATGTTTTTCTTATAATTAGATGAAGATAGTATGGTTTTTTTGAGTGGAAGCCTACCACATCCAAGTTACCTGTTGTCAACATGATTTATTACTGTTGGCGTAACTTGATCACTTGGCTTAGGGCATGCTTGTCAGGCTCCCTCACTGTACAGTACCCTTGTCCCTCCTTTCCACACTGTACCCTTAAGGAGAAAGTCACTGGGCATATACAGAAAGCAGCTGGAATTAGATGTCACTTTTCAACATCAGAGAACTCAATTAAATGAGTTGTCATTCTTCTGCATAAGAGATGTACTAACTTTGCTATTTATTTGTTTTGTTGGTCCTGGGTCTTGAACTCTGGGCCTGGGTGCTGTCCCTCAGCCCTTCAGCTCAAGGCACGTGCTCTACCACTTGAGCCACACTGCCACTTCCAGTTTTCTGGTGGTTAATTGGAAATAAGAATTTCATGGCCATTTCCTGCCCAGGCTGGCCTTATATTGTGACCCTCAGATCTCAGCCTCCTAAGGAGATAGAATTACAGGCATGAGCCACCAGCACCCGGTTAACTTTGCTATTTATTAATCATTGGTTTTGAATTGTGGACTTACTGGTTTTTGTCTTGGTTTGATTTTGAGGGGTTTTTTTGTTTTGTTTTGTTTTTGGCTTTTGTGGTCTTTTTGTACTTAGGTAGTATTTCAATGCCACTCTATTTTGTCCCTTAAATTGGCCATAAGATCTTTGAATTTGTGCCTGTATTCTTTTGACATTTTCCCTATCCTTGCTAGGTTTAGGGGTGGGTATTTTTGGTTTGTTTTTGTTTGTTGTAAGTATGTCCTTATTTTCTGACACTTCAAGATCATCTTGTTTATTTCCTGTCCCTGTCCTGGAGTAAGCCATAACTCAAACAAACAAACAAAAAACGTTCCTTTTATTGGGAACTACTATATTTAAAATTTTAAAAAAATAACAGATCTCAATACTAGGTGTTTTGGGTTTGTTAACTGAAATTGTTTCAGTTAAAATAAAGAGCTGTTTCAAAGGTTATCAGAAATAAGGTCTAGGTCATTTCTGTTCTGTTTCATTTTTAAGGGAACAACTGTGTGAAGAATCTTTTGTTGTTGTTGTTTTTTTTAATTCTCTTCACAAGAGTAAGAGAAGAAAGGCCTTTTTGTCTAAGTTACATTTTGGGGGCTCACCATTCCACTTGTAGTCTAATATGTTTCAAAATGGGAGACTAGAAATCCAAAACCAAGACATGGGCAGAGATGGCCCCTTCTAGACCTGTGAGAGAGAATGTCTTCCACATCTTGCATCTGACACTCTGGAGGTTTTCTGGCAACCTTTGGCATTCCTTGGCTTGTAGATGTGTCTGCTGTGATCTGACTTTATCTTCACATTTCTTAGCATGTACTTGCCTATATCCGAATTGCCTTTTTGATAAGGACACTAGTCATACTGGATTAGGGGCCCACCCTACTGCAATTACATATAATTACATATAATAACTAATTACATATGGTGAATCTCTTTCCAGATTGGGTCACAATATAAGGTTTTGGAATTAAGACTTTAACACATGGATTTGGAGAGAAACACGGTTCCACCCATACATGGGTCTTGGTCTTTTACTTAATTATTGGGTTATAAATGACATTTCTTGGTTCTGTGAATCTCTTAATCTTTTTTTTAATCTCTTAATCTTGATCTTGATTTTCTTCTAGTTTACATAGCTCCTACTTCTTTTTTTTTTCTCTTAACCTGTCAGTTCTCCAAATGATAGGAAAAGTATATCACTGTATTTTTAATTGTGACCTTCATGTTTTTATTCTTTCAGTGTTCTAGCCATTTTGCCTTTTCTAATTTCAAAACAGTCTGAATATATAAACAAGCAGCATATTTTATTGATCAATTACTCAAAGAAGCAGATGGCCTGGATTAAAGGTTCTATTCAAGATAGTTACCTTAGTCAGGTGCTAGTGACTTACACTTGTAATCCTAGCTAACTCAGGAGGCTAAGATTGAGGATCACCATTCAAAGCCAGCTCCAGCAGAAAAATTCCTGTGAGACTCTCATCTCCAATTAACCACTCAAAAACCAGAAGTGGTGTTGTAGCTGAAAGTGGTAGAGTGTTAGCTATGAACAAAAGAGCTCAGGGACTGGGCCCAAGCCCAAGTCCTACAACTGACAAAAGGAAAAAAAAAAATGGTTACTTTACTGAGCTAAATGCCCAAAATAATTCTATAAAATAAGTTACCTGAATCCATTTAATATAAGAAGCAAAAATGTAAAACAACTAGATGATTAGTTATGATTTATTTTAAAAATTAGATTTACAGCCAAATGCTGGTGGTTCATGCCTACAATCCTAGCTACTCAGGAAGCAGAGATCCAAGGATTGAGGTTCAAAGCCAGCCTAGGCAGAAAAATCCAGTAGACTCTCATCTGTGATTAATCATCATCAAGAAGCCACAAGTGGAAATGTGGCTCAAGTGGTAAAGTGCCAGCCTTGAGCAGAAAAGCCAAACAAGAGCACAAAGCCTTAGCTGAGTTCAAGCACCAGCACACATACACACACACAATAAATTTAGTTTTCATTTCACTTTGAATATTAAGGACATTTCACATGTTTTAGTGTAGGTAATCTAAGAATGCTAATTCCATGAATGTAGGAACTTTCTGGGTCTCTGTTCTATCCCTAGGAATTAGAATGGTATCTGTTACAACAAAGGGTCCCAATAAATATTTGATGACTAATTGTTTTCATTGCATTTCTTTCCCTTCTGTTTTTGTTTTATTAACTAAATCTAAGAGAAATCTGCTTGCCATATCCAATTGAGCACCCCTACCATACACACATATGTCGCAGAGCCATGTTCCCAACCTTCACGTCGCCAAAGGACCTGTACACTGGCATTAAAGCTCAAGCCCATCAGCCTTTTCCTCCCACAATGCCAACCAAGGCCTATGATTCAACAGTTTTGAAGACAAGAGGTAAAAATGTAACTTGAAATGAAGTCCACTTATTGGGGTTTATTCAATAATAAAATTAAAGTGAGTCACGCCAAGGACTCAAAACACTGATCTGTAGATTAGTAGGTGAAGAAAGCCATCCTCAACTGGTAACTGCACTACGCAATCAGCAAGGACCCTAACTATAGACCAATTAAGTCAAACTCTGCAGACACTGCTGATGCTTCTTATTTATATATAGTATCCCAAGGTAGAATCAGAAATTCAAAGTTTGTAAAAATTGGTTGCTTTATTCTACTTGTATTTTTGGTTTTCACTCTTTATTCTGTCTTTTTTATTACCTTTAAGTAGTTTACAGAAAGTTTCAATTTATGTGTCAGTCTGTGAGCACAGGACATTTTGATCAATGTAACCCCTTCCATCTTTCTCCCCCATCTCTCCCAACCCTACCCATCACCTCAATTTTACTAGTTCTTGTCCTCTCATGAGGCTGGCTTTTAAAATTCCATCCTAACTAAGGTGATGAGCACAAGGGACCATGATTGGTCCAGTCCTGGAAGTCTGTTCATGAGGCAGCAATTATAGTTAAATTGAATGGCCACCATTGTAATAAGTCTCAGAAAGTCATGGGAGCTATTTATTCAGGTATTCAGGTCCTCTTTTCATACTGGAGCATCTGCCCAGATGTGTGTATTAGAGAGGATGGAAGTCCCCCTACCAGTCATCGAGTCTCCCCACAGTAGATACCTATGCTGAGAGGACCTGAACTTGTGGGAAGACAAGAGTGACCTCTGGAGAAGGACTGAAAATATTAGAAAGAGGGCAACTAAAGGTGACAAAAGGAACATGGTAGGCAGAGATAAATAATGAAGTTCGATTGAAGGTAAGACAATCTCAAGAATTGTCCTATCTAGTAGTACAGTTCTTTTGACACAAAAAACAGGAACAGAATACTATCCTCCTCAATACCTTGTCAGCAGACAGTAATGTTTGGAGAAGGTGTGGCAGAGGGCTTAAGAGCATGAACTCTGGAGTTGGGGTGTAATTCTAGATCTTCACTTCCTATGTCATGGGCAAGGTTTTTCTCTGCCTCCACTTTTCAGTATGTAGAATTAGGAATACTGGTGTCAACTTCATAGATATACAGATGTTAGCTATTAGTACTTTCTTTTTCTCTTTGTTGCTCAGTGTAGAATCTCAAGAACTTTTTCCCCCTGAGTTGGCTGTGAACCAGGATCCTTAGATCTCAGCCTCCTGGATTATAGGCATAAACCATCAACCACCCAGTTGCAATGTTATCTTTATTGCTCTGTAATCTTAATGTAATGACTGCAGTACTGCAGTGTGGGTGCATGCTGAACTTCCCCATTATCTCTCAGGCCAGTCAGCATCAACAAAGCCATTGTGAGCTGTGTCAGATTCTGTGACTGTTTAGTGTATTATCTTAGGGGAACAAACAAGGGAATGCTTTGCAAAAGATTCTAAGAGAGGAAGTCTTGACAAGTGGATACTTCTGAAATTACATTTAGTGCATAGTTAGTAAAAATTAGCAGAAATATGTGTTAAATTCATAAAAACCACCTTTAAGTGTACTTGAAAATAAGAAAATGATAGAAATACATTGTTCTCCCAAGCACCTCCTCTCTGACCTCTTACTCATATGAGATTGTAAACACACATAGTACACTGAAGTAATCTTTATGACAAAGATCTTTCCATGAACTAGTACTGCATTAGCTCTCTATTCTTCCAATTTATTTTTATTAGAAATAAGTAGCAGGTAGGTTAAGGCTATCGAAGCAGATTGCCTGAGGGAATTTTCTCACCTATTAGTGTGATCTTGAGAAAGTTGCTTATTCTCTCTGTGCCTCATCAGCTTCTTCATTCATTATAGTACATTTCTCATAGTAATAATATGAAAATGAGTATGATAGTATATGCGTGTGTGCATGTGTGTGTATATATATCTATATATGTACACACATATACATGCACACACACACACACACACACAATACTTGGTACAATGATTAGCACATAGTGTCCAATAAATGCCAGCCTTTTTTCTTACTACATTTGAGTGTGGGTCTTCCGAGCATTCTTTAATGTGAAATCTTAGATGAGACCTAAGGAGGCCATGCTATGTTTCATAAAGTTTATCATATTATTAAACCTCCAAAAGTTATATTTTTTTAACTGTTCACTCATTCAGTATCTTTTTGTCAAGGATGTACTAACTCTATCTTAGAAAACACTTGGTATTTAGGCAGAGAAAAGCTAAAACAAGTAGTAAAAAGGAGGTTGGGAAGGTGGCTCCATGGTAGAGCACTTGCCTTCATGCATGAGGCCCTTGGTTCGATTCCTCAGCACCACATAAGCAAAAAGAAAAAAGCCAGAAGTGGTGCTGTGGCTCAAGTGGTAGAGCACTAGCCTTGAGCTGAAGAGGTGAGGGACAGCGCCCAGGCCCAGAGTTCAGGCCCCATGACTGAGCCTCTGGAAACCAGAATAAGGTTCAGGAAACTTTATTACACATCTAAGGATCTCTCACATTAAGTACTAGATGTCTCTCTTTCCCCCTGGCCCCAGCCATGGCTGCTAAGACTACTAGCATTAGAGACTTATTCTCAACTATGTGGCTTACTTTGCTCACACAGGGGCTCCAGAATTCAAAAGCAGGCTGCATCTAGGCTTGGGGGTATCGAGCAGGTGATAGAGTGCATGTCTAGCAAGGCATGTTCTAGAAAAGGAAATGTAATGCTTAGCTGTCACTAATAGCTACAAGCTACACCAACATTTGTCTCCATCTAGATCATCTTCTTTCATTATGTTCATAAAACCCATTAGCTAAATGACTATTCTTTATTTATTCAGGATAACATTCCTTTCCTTGAAAATTTCAGGTAATCCTTACAGATATGAACTGATTGACTATCCCATGGATTCAAAGAAGAAAGCATTAACTTGGCCAGGTCAAGGTGTTTATTATGATGTAAGTATCTTGCAAAATGTGTGTTTAACACTGTTATATGTTATAGACTGTAATAGACAATTTGCTCCAGGAAAGTTAGAATGAACTTGTGACTTTAAAGGAGCATCATTATTCCACAATACTGTGAAATTCGGGAAATTATGTAATCACTTAATCACAATAAAAAAAAAGAACCTCGGGGAAGGTAGGGAGGGAAGGGATGGTAGGGGGAAAACAATGGAGGGGGTACTCATTACCTCACTCATGTAACTGTAACCCTCTGTATAGTATCTTTACAATAAAAATAAAATAAAAGGGCTTTTTGCCAGAAAAAAAATGTGTGTTTAAAATAAAGTATAATTAACACTTATCCAGTAAGTGTATAAAAATTTAAAAGGTGGGGCTGGGAAGGTGGCTCAGTGGTAGAGCACTTGCCTTGCATGCATGAGGCCCTGGGTTCGATTCCTCAGCACCACATAAGCAAAAAGAAAAAAGCCGGAAGTGGCGGTGTGGCTCAAGTGGTAGAGCACTAGCCTTGAGCTGAAGAGCTGAGGGACAGCGCCCAGGCCCAGAGTTCAGGCCCCACAACTGGACCCAAAAAAAATAAAATAAAAATTTAAAAGGTGGACATTTTGTTTTCTATCGAGGTAAAAACTTTGAAATTTTTATCATGATTCACATCATCTTTATTAAACCGTTCATCAGCTTCTGGTAGCAGTGGAACATTTTCACAGTTACAGAACACAGCACGGTTATCCTCAGGAAGAGAGTGAGGAAGGACGTTGTTTCACACAGTGTCCCTGGCCTTGTTCTTAGGATTCATAATATGTGAAGTATTCTAAATATGCATAGAGTAAATGGGAGGTTATTTACATTTGTAAGCTACTATCATGCCAATCGTAATGTTTTACATTCCTATCAAGTCTAACATAAAACAGTGGTCACCATTTGTTAAGAAATTGCATACACTAACCACTTCTGATATATATCATTAAGCCCTTAGAAGGATTAATATCATCAATACCATTTTAGAAATAGGAACAATAAGGCTCAGATAGCTTTTTTTTTCCCCAAGGTTTTGAACTCAAGGCCTCACACTTCCTATCCTGGCATTCTACCACTTGATCCATAACCCCAATTTTTACTGGTTATTTTTGAGATAGGCTTCCTGAGAGCTCTACCTGGTTGGCCTCAAACCTCAATTGAACACTCAGACTCTTGAGTAACTGAGATTACAGGCATGAGCCACTGGTGTGTAGCTTCTGATGGTTTTTGACTATGTCATGATCACAAAATTCAGGTTTGTTAAACTCTAGTCTCTGCTCTTAACCTCTCTGGCATAACTTCACATGGATTAGTACAGGAAATTCTAAAACATGAGGGAAAGTATCTAGACATTTGAAAATAATAATAGCTGCCATTTGTTACCCATGCAGCTTAGGAGGGGCAGTGTTAAGTGTTTTCCATATATTGTTTGTACCCAACAATCACAACTTCTTAGCGTCAAAGTGGTCCTAATACAGTATGCTTACAAATTAAATGAGATCCAATAAAGAAACAGTGCTAAAAGGCTAAAGTCTCCAAATGACAATAAGCTCTCCACATTAAGACTTTACTTGCTCCCTGTTAAGCCTCAATAAGCCCAATTATTCAAGACTAAAACAAAAAAAAAAAAGAACAAGATCTTTTTAAAATTTCATTTTTGATTTTCTGATGTTTTACTGATTTATTGAGCTTTGGTTCCTTGCCCAGAGCCCTCAGGACTTTGCACATCATTTCAAGTATAGGTATTGGATAAATGTTTCATATTGAATATCACTCTTTTGTAGACTGGAGAATCTGCCTAGAAACTAACATATGAGGAACTGGAATCCCTTCTCCTCCTATATCAGACACAAACTGTGCCCTGGGCACAGTGTACTTCACAAGTGAACACCTCCCACATGAATGATTTCAAACGGCTCCTCTCTCACTAACCCTTCAGTATAACAACACTTTACTACACAGAAAACTCACCAGCTCCCCACTCAAATATTTCCTGACTTCCTAGGTTATACTAAATCACATTTCCTATTTTTTCTGTGTGTAGTAGTCTATATTTTAATAGGTTAATAGGTAACTACCATTAGTTTAACTTTCCCCAGATTCATCCAGCCCCTTAGAACAATATTTGGAAGAAAAAAAAAGTCCTTATTTCAAGTAAATTGGTTTACTTAAAAATAATGAGAAAGATAAGAAAAAGTAACAAGACTTTCTTTGCCCCTGAGTAAGGAAGCCATGTATTTCTTTCTTTTTTTCTTTTCTTTTTTGTTGTTGTTGTTGTTATTGATTGTGGGGCTTGAACACAGGGCCTGGGTGTGCTGTCCCTGGGCCTCCTCTCTGTGCTCAAGGCTAGCACTCTATCACGTTGAACCACAGTGCCACTTGCAGTTTTCTGCTGGTTAATTGGAGTTAAGAGATCTCGTTGACTTTGCTGCCTGGGCTGGCTTTGAACCACCATCCTCAGATCTTAGCCTCCTAGGATTTACAGGTGTGAGCCTCCAGCACCTAGCAAGCCATGTATTCCTTAAAGGTGTAGAGGCATGGTTCCAGGACAAACTTCCAGGGACCTTTTACCAGGAGCACAAAATGCATGTACGCTTACTGCTTCAGCCTTTCTGGGTTGCTGGCAGTCATGCCACCTTTATGCCCCAGAACTTTAAAGGGACCGTCTCTGATACTCGTGCTGTGCCCTTCCCTATGGGACAGGACCTTCCACGGGTCAAGGAGACCCTGTTTCCATTTGGGGCCCACACTCCCTGGGCCACAAAATTCTCTGTTCAATTAACTCCTAGGAACTCTTCCTCAGGTTTAGCTTTACTAGAGTTAGTGCTATTGAGCCAGTACACACCTGTAGGCCAAAAGGGAAGCTATGGATGGCCATGGTTAGAAGTAGGGGTGATGGGAGGACCAAACAGGTAGAAGAAAGCAATGAGCTACTAAGACAGGGGTAGCATCTGGCTCTTCCTAAACCACCAATTACTGGTACAGAATTCAGTATTTCAAGGAATCTAAGGTGAACCTGGATTTCAAGCTATTGTGTCAAAGTAGAAGATATGTTTTACTTAACGGTTTATTTGCTTGATATAAATTAAACCCTTTAGGAGCTTGATGCTGGTGGTTCACACCTATAACTCTAGATACTCAGGAGGTTGACATCTGAGGACCATGGTTCAGAGTCAACACAGCCAGGAAAGCCCATGAGACTCTTCAGTTAACAACCAAAAAGCCAGTCATAGAGCTGTGGCTCAAGTGGTAGGGTGCCAGCCTTGAAGCTCAAGACCCAGTTCAAATAATACCCCGAGTTCAAACCCCAGTATCAGCACAAAATTAATGAACTATAAATTGTTTAGACAGGATATGACTTTCTATTTGCATTTAACATTGGGCTCTGAAAATGTTAAGGGTGTGCTAAACTACTAGCACAACAAACGCTTAATATTCAAAAAATGTATGCTGCCATCCATATTTCTGCTTCTGATGCTTGGTAGTGTCCACAACTCTGCACTGTCACTCAAGGCTCAGTTCCTGAGGGATGACATAATCTGGTCTCTTCTTACTCCCTCCAACTCCATTCCCAGTCCTACATCTCCATTCAGTTAGGATCAATCTCTCCCCATGAACTTCCAAGTCATTTTCTTAACCTCTTGTATAGTAATTTGTGTTCATCTCTCCTCTCCTACCCATGATGCTTCTGGATGGCAGGATCTGGTCTATTCTGTTCTCCTACACTACTGTGCACATATAGGTGTTTAGTAAAGACTTACTCTGAGTATTATCAATCTAAGAAAAGTGAAGTTCTAAGTAAGCAGAAAGACTGCAGTGAAAGTTACTCATGCATACCTCTGGATAATGCAAATCAAACATCATAGTTTTAGGTATCTGAAAAAATGAAAATTGGATTTGAATGATTTTGAGTAATTTAATCTTCATTAGAGAATTGTGAAATACATATGGTTTAATTTCAGGCAGGACAGAAAAAAAATAGAATGCACACGATTTTGACTAAAATTAGCTGAAACTGCATCTCAGTCTGCATTGTATCCCTAAAAATATTTCACTAGAAGTAGAATATCCAGGGATATTTCTCCAATATAAGTTATTAGAGCATTTTAAAGAAGACTTGGTACCTTTGTTTTTTTTGCCAGTCATGGGGCTTGAACTCAAGGCCTGGGCACTGTCCCTGAGCTTCTTTTGCTCAAGACTAGCACTCTATCACTTGAGCCACAGTGCCACTTCCAGCCTTTTCTATTTATATGGTACTGAGGAATCGAACCTGGGGCTTCATGTATGCGAGGCAAGCACTCTGTCACTAAGCTACACTCCTAGCCCAAGACTTGATCGTTTCTCTAATAAAAATATTGTGCTTAATTCTAAGTATGGTGATAGGTAGAGCTACCATGCCTGGCTTATATTAAATAGTAGTAAGAAAATAAAGAATATAAAGTATCTGACTTCAACCTAGAATTTCCTTTGCCTCTTTTCCTGATGAGACCTTACTAACAATGACATTAATATCAATAATCTTTATGTTCTTATTCTAGTTTCCTAAATGTGTCGACAAAAATAAACCAGTGTTCTATCCCAAACCTCCTAAAACCTATGCTCCTAACCCTTTAAACTCATGGGATTCTCTGAGCTCCATGAGAGAAGCCAACATACAAAGAAATCTTGAGAGGTCTCACTGGATCACTTCATATAATCATGATTTCACAGGTATGAGTTCAATACCAGTAAAAAATAAGAACAAAATCAAGATATTCAGCGAATGCCATCCCAAGCTTTCATTTTTTAGTGTATTTGCATTTCTCAATCTAAGTACAAATGTAAATTCAGGTGGGGGTTAACTTTCTTATAATGTATATGTGGAAGATAGGATTAATTTTCATTTGATTGGTTTTAGTTGTATTCTAAGGGAAAGGTCTCATTTTTCTATAAAGGATAATTTAATTATTATTATTTACAAAATAATGAGACAATGTTTCCATTAAGGTCTTGGGCCCATGAACCCCCTTGAACTGGATGATTACCATGAAAAGGAGGTAGCAGAGCTAACTGGAGAGATAGGATTTGACCCACCACCTGTAAGTCAACTCTCAATTATTTGAGGGAAGAATATCCTTGTACCAGAGTTTTTCTTGCTTTGCCCATCTTCTGTTTGTTTTATGAGCATTAGCAGCCAGCCTAACTCATTTTGGAAGTCAATTCAGAACTGTTTGGAAAAGCAAAACTTTTCTTCACATGGCATTTTTAAACATTTTTATTATGCTGCTGTTGTTAAGGTACCTAAGGGAATTGGTTTATAGAACAGTAGAGCTTTTCTAGTGACTTAATGAGATTCTGGATCTTATATATATCTTGTATATTGAATTTTTGAAGGGATGAAGAGTTCTTCCTAATACAATAACTGAGAATTGGCTGAATTACAACCAAAAGCCAAAACATTCTCTGCATACATCAGTAGATACATTTGTTATTCTTTTTGGCAGTTCTGGAGTTTGAACTCAAAACCTTGCGCTTACTAGGCAGGGTGAACCACACCTGCAGCTTTTTCTTTTTTGTTTTTGGTTGGTCGTGGGGCTTGAACTCTGGGCCTGGGCACTGTCCCTCAGCTCTTCAGCTCAAGGCGAGAAGTCTACCACTTGAGCCACAGCGCCACTTCCGGTTTTCTGGTGGTTTATTGGAGATGAGATTCTCACAGACTTTCCTTCCCAGCCTGGATCCTCAGATCTCAGCCTCCCTCCTAGCTAGGATTACAGGCATGAGCCACCAGTGTCCAGCATGCAGCTCTTTTTCATACTGGTTATTTTTGAAGTAGGATCTTACTTCCTGCCCAGGTATCATCCTATTTTTTACTTGGACTGTGATCCTATTTTTCACTTCCCACCATGGCTACAATGACAAGCATGTGTACCATATTCAACTTCTTACTGTTGAGATGGTGGCTCATGAACTTTTCTGCCTGGCTTGCCTAAAATCACAGTCCTCCCTATTGCAGCATCCGATGTAGCTAGTGATGAAGGCACCCTTCATCAGTACTAAGTTTTTATAATGACTTGGTAATTGATTATATGGAGTGGCTTGAAAGAATCAAGTCCTTAAGCTAGCTTAAGTTATGTAAATGAGATGATCTAGTAGTATATATATATATATATAGTTTTATTATATTTTATCCTCCATAACTGCAACTCTTGAGAACAAAATATCTTCAAAGACATAAGTTGTAGAAAGATTGCTTCAGAATACATTTTGAATAAGGATGAATAGAGAATCAAAATAGATTGTTTTTAACTATAAAAGTTGAATGAGAAAACATGTTAAAATTTTTTTGGGAAGAGAAGAAGGAACAGTCTTAGATCGGATTGAACATATGAAGTCCCCCTCTGTATAACTAATGTAAGCAAATAAAAAAATAAGATACAAAAAATAAAGATGCATGGACTGGGAATTTGGCTTAGTGGTAGAGTGTTTGCCTCACTTGCATGAAACCCTGGGTTCAATTCCTCAGTACCACATAAGCAGAAAAAGCCGGAATTGGCACTGTGGCTTAAGTGGTAGAATGCTAGCCTTGAGCCAAACCAGCTCAGGGATAATGCCCAGGCCCTGAATTAAAGCTCCAGGACTGGCAAAAATAAAAATAAAAAATAAAGGCCCAGTTGAGAGCCTGAAAAAAAATTGTATCAATATGAACTCTTTTTAGAACTCAACTGAGCATATTCATGTTATATTAGAGTTTCAGCATTTCCTAATGTGATGGAGATAAAATGGAGTCATAGACTGCCCTTATTATTCATTTAGGGATTTGGTTTTGATTCTTTTTTGTGGGGGGGTCCGGTCGTGGGGCCTGAACTCTGGGCCTGGGCACTGTCCCTCAGCTCTTCAGCTCAAGGCTAGCGCTCTACCACTTGAGCCACAGCACTACTTCTGGCTTTTTTCTTTTTGCTTATGTGGTGCTGAGGAATCATGCATGCAAGGCAAGCGCTTTACCACTGAGCCACCTTCCCAGCCCCTGGTTTTGATTTTTCACTTGCAATAGGTATTTGGATTTGGTTTTGATTTTTCACTTGTAATGGGTATTCTCTATCAGGAAAGATTACATACATATACTCTAACCCTGTCAGGGTTATGCATATCAGATGGTTTACTCTGGTAAAGCATACTTTAGTAATGATAAAAATAGATATGATTTTTTTTTGTATAGAGTAAAATAAAGGTACTAAAAGCTACTTCTGACATAATAAGATACTGTTGAAATCTGATATGATCTATTCTATCCTTTACTTCAGTAACATATAACAGCACATCTGAGAGAAGGGTTTTTTTTTTTCTTGGTATATTTTCTCAAACTTAATTAGCTAAAAGGCACAATAATTTGTTGACTCCATATGGGAAATCCTTCAACCATATACAATTATATACAGGCTAGCTTCTGATATGATGATTCTGAATCCATCTTAACCTCCTGTGGGTTTTTTCCTCAATCACTTATTTGACCACTACATAGATTCTTTGATTAACTCTTTACTAAGCTTACTCTTCACATAATCTAGCCAATCTTCCATCTTCTAACTATCCATCAATACATTTTTTTCTTCATATATTTTAGGGTATATTTTTGTTCTTCACTCATAAACATTTAGCATGCATATCATTAACCAGAGCTCAGAATTTATTTGCAATTTATTTTTCTTTTTCTTTTTTTTTGGGTCCGGTTGTGGGGCTTGAATTCTGGGCCTGAGCGCTGTCCCTCATCTCTTCAGCTCAAGGCTAGTGCTCTACCACTTGAGCCACAGCACCACTTCCGGCTTTTTTCTTTTTGCTTATGTGGTACTGAGGAATCGAACCAGGGCCACAGGCTTGCAAGGCAAGCGCTTTACCACTGAGCCACCTTCCCAGCCCCATATTTGCAATTTCTTTTAAGGTGAAATATACATTCATTGAGCAGGGCAACAGTGGCTCGCACCTGTAACCCTAGCTCTCTTAGCAAGCTACTTAGTAAGCTAGAATTACAGGTGTGGGCTATTGTTATTTAGAGCCAGAGGATCCAGATTCAAAGCCAGCCCAGGTAGAAAAATCAGTAATACTCCATCCCCAAAACAACCAGCAAAAAGCAGGGATACTGACATGGCTCACAAGCCAGGCAAGCTCAAAACTCTTAGTTCAAGCACCTGAAACACTGGGGAGGGGTGGGGGGGAATTACATTACATCCTTTCACTGAAATTACATAAATGTTAAGAGTACTTCCACTGAGTTTTGACAAATATGTACACGTTAGTAACTCAAACTCCAGGAGTAGAGTGCTAGCCTTGAGCTGAAAAGCTGAGGGACAGGGTCCAGGCCCAGAGTTCAGGCCCCACAACCGTACCAAAAAAAAAAAAAAAAAGAATCTTTGCCTGGTCTAATGAAACACATTTTGACTAAGACTTAAACAACTCTACACAGAGTTAGTAAGTATCATTTACTGGTGATGGTTATAAGTTTATTCTAGGATTCCTTCATAGCTTTGAAAACATGAAAGAATTCCCACATATACATGTGTCTTTGTAGCAAAATAGAAAATCTGTCCATTCCTATTATCTAAAGCTAGAAAGGAAAAAAAAAATGCATTTATTTGGTCCAAACTTCAGTGTCTTTTGGGGAAGTGTGATAATAGTATTTGAACTCAATAATAGTATTGACTCCCATTTCTACACAAGTGCTCTTATCACATGAACTGTTCCACTAGTCCTGTTGGCACTGATGATTATTGAGATAAGAATCCCACTTTATGCCAGTACTGGCCTTGATCCTCCTATATGTGCTTGGATGACAGGCATGTACTACTATATTCAGGATGAAATAAGTGTCTCCAAAATTTTAACCCAGCCAGCCTTGAACCTGGATCCCCAATCTCCACCTTCCAAGTAGCTAGGATTACAGGCTTGAGCCACCACATTCAGAACTGAAGTATCTAATAGAACCTGCTATGTGCATGCTCCAACCCATCTCATATTTATTCAGTGAAAATGGTTATGACTGTTGAGCTATTGTTTACAGCAATATCTTTCTAATGCTATATTTATTCACTTTAAAATTTCTCCTTTTTATTCCTTCACTATAGCAAGAAAAATTCCACCCTGTCTTAAGACCCCCGAGACCTTTGGACGGGCGAATTTCACGACTTCTTCAAGACCGACGTCCTTTGGAGGCTATTGTCCAGGAAGGACCAAGTTCTTGCCCAGATTGTACACCTAGAGTTTTGTGTAATTTTCATACCTTCATCCCCAGTTCTGCAGAAATGATGGCCCTGAGCGATAACACAATGCCTGGCCTGGTTCACAAAACCAAAGATATTGATGAGAAGATTAAGGAAGAACGAAGTTTGCTGTCTCCCTGTACGCTTCCGACTTGCGACTTAACCAAAGACCTGACTAACATTTATGACTTAAAATCACTTCCAAAAATCACAGATACTAAAAAGACAGATGCTTTGTACTGGAGACAGCTGCCATTAAAATCTCCACCCCTACCTTACTATAAACCAAATTACCTTCAGTATGATCATCTTAAATCTTCCCTACGTGATCCACTTACTACGTGTCAAACTCCTCTCACCCTTAACTATAGAATGTTACAAAATAAGTCAAATATGGGTACTTTTGCTTTAGAAAATTTTTTAAATAAGCCAGATGAACAAGCGGACAAAGACAACGATGACACGAAGTCTCTTCTGGGTTGGATTCCTAAGGTTGAATCGGTCAAGTCTCACACCAACTTACTGGATCTGAAGAACTCTTTTTCGAAAAGTAATGCACAGAAGCAGTTCCATAATTCACTGCTGGGAGCTCACAAAGACCTCAGGGATAAACTGAATCCAGGAATGAAACATCAATTCTTTGGCCATAATTCTTATTATTTCTATAACTGAAACATTCCTTCTTCCTTTCAAAACCCAACTTCTTGCAAGAAAAAAAAATAGCAGTGTCCTTTTTTGCTGGGTTCTATTTCTAGCTTAAGCCATAGCAACCTTGTTAATAGGTTTATGTTTTCAGTAGTTTAAGTTAGGATCTAGCCAGGAACCCAGACAAACGTGATATTCTGTCTTCTTAAAAAGTTTAACAATTTATGAATAAAAAATTAGAGCCAGAAAAAAAATGAGTAGTCCGTAATCTCATTTAAAATCTACTCTAAAGAAGTTTTGTTTGGTTATATCGAAAAACAAACTTTACAACTTTGGTGGGGGGTGGGGGGGGCGGGGCAGGCAGGGATGTAAGGGGAAACAAACAAAGGAGGGAGCAACAATGCTTGATAAGAAATGTACTCATTACCTTGCTCACATAATTGTAACCCCTCTGTACAGTATTTTCACAATTAAAAAAACTTACTAATAAAAAAAAGTGGTTTTACAAATCACAGCAGGAGAAAAAAGTTTTGTCAGTCATAGGGCTTGAACTCTGGGCCTGGGCACTGACTCTGAGTTCTAGTGCTCTACCACTTGAGCCACAGTGTCACTTCTGGTCTTCTGAGTGGTTAATAGTAGATAAGGGTCTCTAGGACTTTTCTGTCTGGGCTGGCTTTTGAACCTCAATCTTCAGACCTCATCCTCCTGAGTAGCTAAGATTATAGGTGTGAGCCACCTGGGCCTGGCTTAAAGAAGTTTTTTAATACAATTTTGTTATTAGGAAGGTGTTGTACAGAGAATTTACCATTTCATAAATCAGGTAATAAGTGTAATCCTTTGTGGACAAGATCACCTCCAATTCGCTTCCTCCAATTTTCGCCCTTGTCCCTGCAACAGGTTATATAGTTCATTTAGCACTCTAAAAGATTCCAAAAATCATAAAAATGTGTACAACAAAAGTTATGTCGTAATTTTATGTGAAATAAAATGCTAAAAATAAGTCCCATTGACAAATAGCAATACAGTCTATAGCACCTTAATAAAATAAATATGTCAACATTGTCTCCTTTTTTGTGTGTGTTCCAGTTCCTAGTCCTGAGGCTTGAACTCAGGGCCTGGGTAGTGCCTGTGCTGTTTTGTTCAAGTATAGTGCTCTACTACTTGAGCCATAGCTCTATGGCTTCTCAGTGATAATTTGGAGATGAGTCTCACAGACTTTCCTTCCTGGGTTGGCTTTGAACTATGATCCTCATATCTCAGCCTTCTGAATAGCTAGGATGATAGGAGTAAGGCACCAGCACCCAGCCAACATTGTCCTTTTTGCATAAATATTTGCACAAAATAATACTAGGTAAAAAATAATACTAGTTAATACTAATAATACTGGGTAAAAATGGCAAAGCTCAAACCTCAGTTATGAATGATGGATGGTTCTACAAACTCATCACCTTATAAAATAAACCCCTTGCCCATTAATGTAGAAGTAGAAAAGGTCAGTGGAATCAGTGAAAACCAAAATGGTCTTGCAAACTTTACAGGTTATTTCCATTAGCTTCCTTAATAGACAAACAACTATTTCATTCTTTTCTCTTTTTTTCTTTTTTTTTGCCGGTCATGGGGCCTTAACTCTGGGCCTGGACACTGTCCCTCAGCTCTTCAGCTCAAGGCTAGTGCTCCACCACTTGAACCATAGCCCCACTTCCAGATTTTTCTGCTTATGTGGTGCTGAGGAATCAAACCCAGGGCCTCATGCATGCAAGGCAAGCACTCTACCACTGAGCTACCATCCCAGCCCCAACAAACAACTATTTCAATGCTCAACTTGGAAGTCTTGGTTTTTATTTTTATAACATAACTTGAAAATTATATGTCATGCAGGCAATACTTAAAGACATTAAGATTTGGTTCCAGAGCACCACAATAAAGCAAATGCCACAACCAGGCAATTTACATTTTGTTTTCACAAAGCATACAATGATGTTTATACTATTGTCTAGTTGATTTTTGTTTTTTGTTTGTTTTTTTTGGGGGGTCCGGTCGTGGGACCTGAACTCTGGGCCTGGGCGCTGTCCCTCAGCTCTTCAGCTCAAGGCTAGCGCTCTACCACTTGAGCCACAGTGCCACTTCCGGCTTTTTTCTTATGTGGTGCTGAGGAATCGAACCCAGGGCCTTATGCATGCAAGGCAAGCGCTCTACCACTGAGCCACCTTCCCAGCCCCACTATTGTCTAGTTGAGTGTGCCATACTAGTATGTCTTGAAAATAATAAATATTCCTTAATTAAAAGTAATATATTGCTAATGACCATCTGAGTCTTCATAAGTCTAGTTTAAGACTTAGTAAGTCATAGGCTGATCTTGCATGGATGTTGCTGTCTGCTATCAAGAATTTGCTTTAAATAAACCAACAATGAGTTTGTTGCGCTGTTTGACTCTTCTTTCCATGAAGGATTTCTCTGTAGCGTGGGATGCTGTTTGATAACATTTTACCCACAGCAGTCGTATCACACTTTCACTGCTTTATTAAATAAGCTTGTGTCATATTTTTCAATTCTTTGTTGTCATATCAATTATGTACATAGCATTTTCACCAGGAGATTCCACCTCAAGAAAGATCTTTATTTGTTCATCAGTAAGTTCTTTATTTGTTCATCATGATAGTGCAACATGAAAATAAGTTTCATTATGATAGTGCAACAATTCTTTTTTGTGTGTGCCAGTCCTGGGGCTTCTTGCTGTACATCTTTTGCTCAAGGCTAGCACTCAACCACTTGAGCCACAGCACCACTTCCAGCTTTTTCTGTGGATGTGGTACTGAAGACGAAACCAGGACTTTATGCATGCTAGGCAAGCACTCTTATCACTAAGCCACATTCCCAGCCCAGTGCAACAATTCTGTCACATTTTCATGCTCCATTTCTAACTCTAATGTTCTTGCTACTTCCACCTACATCTGCAGTTACTTCCTCTAACCCCTGAAAGACAGCCATGCAGGTTACAATCAACTGCTTCTGAACTCTCATTAATAATAGAGTTTGATCAGCAACCATGAATCATTAGTGTTGCGGATGGGGGTGGGGGTAGGGAAGAGGACCATATTAGGCCTTGAACTCAGGTCCTCACATTCTCATTCGGGCTTTTTTTTTTTTTTCACTCCATGCTGGTACACAACCAATTGAGCACCTCCACTTCCAATCTTTTGCTGATTGGAGATACGAGTATCCTGGACTTTCCCGTCCTAGCTGGCTTTGAACTTCAATTCTCAAATCTGTCTCCTGAGTAGCTAGGATTACAGGATTGGGCCACCAGTGCCTAGCATGCATGCTGTTAATGTCACATACAATGGTAGAAGCTTTCCAAAAAGGTTTCAATCTCCTTTGCTCAGATCCACTAGAGGAACTGATACAACAGCTGTAACCTCATGAAATTTCTTAGCCAAGCACTGGTATCTCATGCCTGTAATTCTAGCTATACAGAAGGCTGAGATCTATTCTTCTTTAATAAAGTTTCCTTTTAGTCCCAGGATGAGTTTTGCCAGATATTCTTCTTGAGATATGTTCCCAGAATGTGTTCATTTGGGGCTCTGGACAGATAATGCAAGGTTAAGAGCATGGTTAGCTACTATACCCCAGTGGGGAGTGAGACCTCAAATTACCTATTGACATTGTGCTTATACTTAGCTCCTGGCTCAGCTAATGTTCATTTTTTCCCCCTATGCTTTAGATTTTAATTTGTTTTTATTCTCATGTCACCTGTTATTCTTTTCAACTCCCACTAGAGACTACCTCTTAAATTTCTCACCACTTTTCAATACTGTTGTTGGAACAAGCGTCCAACACAGGAACTCCGGGGGGCCAAAGCATATCCAAATCATAGCAGGTAGCCCTTTGTTTAGTTATCTTCTTCTTAAAGGAAAATTAAACTTTTCTTTCATTTCCTTGAGAAACAATTACGTTCAATTTCTCAAGTGTCAAGTTCCACCTTTCTACTGTGTACATTTATGGCCTTAGAACTTCTGATATATTCAGAAGGTGAAAGAGGACTTAGGCCCTGTAGATTTTCCAACAAAACAGAAGGGAAAGAAAGGTAGATGGTATCTCTAAAGGTAGATGGTCCTCTGTAAACAAAATAATTTTTATTTGCCCTTAGAATGGATACTATGAAATGGCATTTAAAATATTTAGAAAAACAAAAGAAAAATAGTGAACCAAGGATTATAGCTAGTAAAGAGGCAAAATTTTCAGAAAAGCCAGTTTATTGGAATATAATCACTGAACCATATAGTAAGTATATGTTTTATAATGTTGGGGACAATTATATATGTACATTAATTCATATATATAATTATACATACATAAGATTATATACACATGTGTATATATATATTTTTTCTGTACATTGCTTTTCATTATGGCCTCATGCTTGGTTTTTCCCAGTGTATGGGAATTCTCAGGAACCAGAGTTTCTTTTTATTAGAAATCAGCACATGGGGTCTGGGAAGGTGGCTCAGTGGTAGAGTGCTTGCCTTGCATGCATGAGGCCCTGGGTTCGATTCCTCAGCACCACATAAGCAGAAAAAAAAAAAAGCCAGAAGCAGCGCTGTGGCTCAAGTGGTAGAGCTGAAGAGCTGAGGGCCAGCGCCCAGGCCCAGGGTTCAGGCCCCACAACTGGACGGCCCCCCCCCCAAAAAAAAAAGAAATCAGCACATGGTGTCCATTTGTTCATTATTTAAGACAGTCTTTCTCTGGACTGCAAATAGAATAAAATCAAACCCTAAAACTGTCTGAGGGTAATGGTGTTCGTGAATTCTCAGGTGATACTTTTCCCTCTCCCTCAGTAGTAAGCTGGTTCATTCCTCTTGTGGCAAATAGACTGTTTTATCCTTTATACTCAGGCATGCCAAAATTATGCAGGGATCTTCTCCAAGGTTTCCTCCAGTCCTCCACTGCCCCTCATTTGACTTCATTTTGCTGAGCTGCTAGGACAGCCTCAGATTCTTTCACTTCAGCAAAGGTTCTTAAGATAGCTCTGGAATCTGCATACTGATCACATTAGGTTTTAGTTCTTGTTCTCTGCCCTAAGCTTTCCCTCCAACCACCAGATTTGTTGGGTTATTTTTTTTTTTTTGGTACCATAACTAGAGCTTCTACTTAGGGCCTCGAACTCTCACTTGGCTTTTTCATACAAGGCTTGCACTCTACCTCTTGAACCATACCACCACTTACAGTATTTTGGTGGTTAATTGGAGATAAAAGGTTCTCTGATGCAGCTGCCCAGGCTTGCTTTGAACCATAATCCTCAGTTCTCAGCCATCTAATA